ATTTATTTTGGATCGAATTGGGTTACACTTTTACAAAACCAAAAACCGAAAATCCAAACCGAAAAATTGAAGGCACACCCCTAATTAACTAAGATATAAGGAATCAACATGGGTTTGTGGTGCACTGGTGGATCGAGTTCTGAGTATAGAGAAAATCATGTTAGAAGCATCACTTTTAAATGAACTCTGTTATGCGTGATCCAAATTTAATTGGAGCTCCAATGCAACACCGAATGAGAAACAAGAAAAAAAAAACTAGGATATAAGGAAAAAACTAATGCAACAAATTATAGTGATTAGGTTCAATAATTGATTTAAATGTCAAACGTTAGGTCATAAAAGGCAAAATTAGATTCGATAACTTAAGGCCACAAATTGATAAATACCGATGCACCTTGTTACTTCTGCTATTTGTTTATGGTTCTTTCCTCAATGTGACCAGCACTCCATACTTTAGATAATGAAACTTATATTTGTTTACTTATATGACAGTTTATGCGTAAAATCAAATTGTTGAATTCTCGATATTTATAGAGTGAAATTGAAAGTGAATTCAAGTATATAGTACTTATTCGATACTCTCACTTTAGATGTCTTGCTTTTTTTTTTTTTGGTCTACCTCAAAAAATAAATCGTTCTTATATTAAATATAAGTTTTTCAATTTCAATATGTTATATAACGTGACAAGTTTAAGATCACAAATATAATTAATTTAATATTATAAGATTCAAAAATCTCCTATTTATTTCTTGAAATCCGTACCCGATCAAAAGAGCTCCTCTCTTGCTAGGAGTACAAGTTTTAAATTAGTTAAACCTAATTAATACAAACAGATCCTCTATAATAATATTTCAATTTAATCACCAAAAAAAAGATTTAAAATCATTTTTCATATTATATTATATATATATATATATATATATATATATATATATATATATATATATATATATATATATATATATATGCTAAATAATAATATTAATCAGACAAAGTTATTATATAAATAAATAAAAAATAACTGTCAATTAGATGGCCATGCTAATTTTTAATAGATATTTTAATTTAGCTAATAAACATTTTTGTCGTTTGTTTAATTTACTATAAAAAGTCATCAGACATGGGCGGTTTGGAGTGAAGTGATAGTAAACATAGTTTTGTTCTATTTTGATATTTGGACCATATTATTAAAATATCTAGCTATTATAAAAAGAGTGTTTTTTTTTAAAAGAAATTATTTGAAACTTGGCATTTAGTACTAGAATATAAATAAATAGTGTTCACGGTTATTTTATAAGTTGGCTTTTGATAAATAGTTATCGTTATCGTGCTAAATACAAGTAGGTAATTAACTTTAGCTTTAAACTTTATATTGCATTAAAAAATTACATATTATGTACAAATTATCTATTTTGACGTTATAAGTTATTCTATCCTAAAAATCAGAAATTATAAATTTAAAATCTTGAATTCGATACGAAATGACTATATTTATTGGCAAAAAGTCACACACTGTGATCTATTTCTTGTGGAATTTTTTGGCTGTGGGGGTTAGATTAAGTTTTCTGGACTTAAATTAATTATGTTTGGAGAGGGAAGTCAAGTAATAAATTGTTAAATATTAATTAGACAAGTTATGATGCTTATCTTAAATATAATTAGAGAGTTGAATAAAATAACAAATAATTTGTAATTGGAAAATGAAAAAGCTATCTTATTCTGCAACTTGATGGAGAAATTAAATAAGTAAGAAAATTTTCAGAAATTGCCTTCTTTGTCTCATTACATTACAAAATTAATATTATCAAATTTGAAAAGGATATATTTGAAATAATTCAATAATCTTCTCCTAAATGTAGATTTTTTCCTAAGGTGTTGATAAAATGTCTCTCTCAAATTACACACGATTTAAAGAAATTAAACGTTTTATTTGAATTTAAGTCAGTAGCAAGAATTTCAGACAAAATAGATATATCATTAAAATAGATATTTTACAGTAAAATAGTTACTTTATATAGAAATATGTCATTCTTTTTTAGACTGACTAAAGAAAAAAGTAAGTCATATAAATTGGGACAGGGGGAGTAACAGATATAACCAAAGTAATAATATTTAATCCCTTAAAAATTTATACATTAATTGAACACTATAATTAAAATATCAAGTAATAATATATAACCAAAGTATAATATTTAATTATTTATGACAACTTTATTTAAATAAGGGTATAATAGGAAAAATTTTGTTGTCCTTTCTTGATTTGTCAAAATGGACAACTAAATAGGGACAACTAAAAGAGGAAATATGGACAACTAAATAGAGACGGGAGGAGTATATTACTAGTAGAAAAAGAAGATACTTCTTGTTAATTAACATCACAACAACAACTTTTACAAGTTGATGAGCCAATGGCTTTTCACTATCTTCTTTCCAAATTATCATTTGGGGAAAAGGGCTGGTTTTGTCTGTGAGATATTTTAAATTGATGAATATTTATCATATGTTACATTTTTAGTTCAAAATGTCTTTATTTTCATTGTTAATTAAGTAACTCAATTTTGAGTTATATGACATTGTTGGACTATTATATCCTAAAAGAGACATATCAAGAGTAATAGTACTGGATTAATGTAGATTATACAGCAGTAAACTCTTAAAAATGAGCGAAAAAAAATTGTGTCTTAGGGTGTGTTTGGTATGAAGGAAAACATTTTCCGGAAAATGTTTTCCAATTTTCTCATGTTTGGTTGGGCTAAATGTTTTGGAAAATGTTTTCCAAATCAACTCATTTTCCTCAAATTTAAGGAAAATGACTTCCCTTCTAAACTTAAGGAAAACATTTTCCAAAAGTCTCTTCCAACTTCAAATTACAATTATTTTTTTGTTGAAAAAATTAATTTATTTTGTCCCTACCCTCAAATCACCCCCTAACCACCACCCCCCCCCTAAAAAAATAATAATTTAAAGATTGTTTTTAAATTCAATTTTTTTACCCTACCCCCACCCCTTCCCAAAAAAATATTTAAAATTGTTTTTAAAATATATTTCTAATTTCATTTTTTTATTTTTTCACCCCTCACCCACTACCCTCGCCCTTCACCCCCCCCCCCACATCAACCCCCCTATCAGCCCCCAACCCCCTTCAAAAAGAAAAAATTTAAGTTTGTTTTTAAAAAATATTTTCAACTTCAAATTTTTATTTTTTCATCCCGATCCTCGATCACCCACCCCCTTCTCGGGTCACCCCCCCCCCCCACCCCCCAAAAAAAATTGAGTTTGTTTTTAAAAAATATTTACAAATTCAAAATTTCATTTTTTCACCCTACCCTCGACCCCCCACCCACCTCCTACGCAGCCCCCCACCCACCCACCCCTAACCCCCCCCCCCCACCCCCCCAAAAAAAAAATTTAAGTTTGTTTTTAAAAAATATTCTCAACTTCAAAATTTCATTTTTTTCATCCTACCCTTGACCCCCCCACGCAGCCCCCCACCCACCCACCCCCCACCAGCCCCCCCCCCCCCCCACAAAAAATTTAAGTTTTTTTTAAAAAATATTTTTAATTTCAAAATTTCATTTTTTCACCCCTAGAACCCCCACCCACCCACCCCCTACCAGCCCCCCACCCCCCCTCCCCAAAAAAAAATAAAAAATTTAAAGTTTGTTTTTAAAAAATATTTTCAATTTCAAAATTTCATTTTTTCACCCCTACCCTCGACCCCCACCCACCCACCCCCCTACCAGCCCCCCCCCCCCCACCCCCAAAAAATAATTTTAAGTTTGTTTTTCAAAAATATTTTCAACTTCAAAATTTCAATTTTTCACCCCTACCCTCGCCCCCCCCCCCCTTTCACCCACTCCCTACCACCCCCACCCCCCAAAAAAAATTTAAGTTTGTTTTTAAAAACTATTTTCAATTTCAAAAAATATTTTCTACTCTAGTAAAAATAAAAGATATTTCTCAAAAATATTTTTCATTCATAAATCAAACACTAAAAATCTTTTCTGGAAAATATTTTCTACTCACCAACCAAACATGAGAAAATAAGTCAAAAATCAACTTGTTTTCCAGGAAAACATTTTCTAGGAAAACATTTTCCATGGAAAACATTTTCCTTCGTACCAAACACACCCTTGTCTCAATATTTATTTATTCCTTTTATTTCAACAATTTATGATATCTGCCAAAGACCCAAACATATATATACTAAAAAAAGGTGCGTGAAATGATTGTTACAAAATTAAGGTGTATAATACAATTACATAAACTATAAGGGGGTCGTATGAATTCCACCAAACTACGAAACAATATAATATAATAATAATAATAATAATAATAATAATAATAATAAGTTTATCGTATTTATATTTGATATGGATTCTTTATTTTCGAACTACTTTACTGGCACTACCATATGCTTTCTTTAGTTCACCGAATATCATGTAGATTTCCTTCTCTCTGTAAGAATTTCTACAAATCTCAACATGAATACTCCGCTGTTACAAGACTACCAGTCATGAACTGACTTAGCCTTACTTAATGTCCCTACTCTATCCTCATCACTATTCGAATGTTATATTATATAAGTTTAGCTTAAAATACATATATATATTTTATATAAGTTTCATACAATAATAGTTCGAACATCTTTATCTCCTTTGTTCTTATATATTGGAACCAAGGTACCCTTTTCCACTCATTTATTATCTTTCACTCCTTAATATAACATTGAATAGCATGGTTAGCCATCACTTAACCTCACCAAGGCACTTCAAAACTAGTCTATCCTCATCATATCCTTTACTTCAACATAGGTTTATCTATAAATTCAGCTAAGGTTTCTATCTGTCACACATGTATGAATATCTACTAAGTCATCCTAGTAATTTGTATTGAGCAATTGACTGAAATAACCTCTCATCTGGCTTTAGTCTCACTATCTACTTTCAAATCTTGTCCAAAATCATTCTTAATACCCTTGATCTAAGTTTTTCTGCCTTTGCACTCAGTCTTGAAATAACTGATGAGAGCTGACGTCAGAAAACCCATGAACTTAAAGACACAAAAGTACATCCATCCGATAAGACTAACATGTATTTCTGCAAGCGCAAACTCCATTTACAAGTGTAGAACTGTTCGGAAGAAGAATCATGGATAGATGGAATGAGTAGCTACCACAGTCAAGCAAACAAAAGGAGCCACAGGGAATAGACAATTCCACATTCTAACTATGACAAAAAGAACTTTAATCAGCGTATAAGTAGATAGAATAACAGAGTGAATTATGGTCTTTAGTGGTATGAAAGAAACAGACTTGAAGGAAGAGTGCACGAAAACAGCTCAGAACATTCTTGAACACAATGCAGAAGAGGAAGTCCAGAACCATTTGGAAACAGAGCCAATTTCTATGAATCTTACCTGAAGGTTCATAGCCAATACTACAGTAACATAAGCCAGGTTGCACTGTTAAAAGAGATTATTAGTCACATAAAACTAGACTGAAAACTAAGATTTGCTATTGAAATTAAAAGAGGAAAACTCCCAGAGTAATACACTATACCATTCTGCGAGAAACCCTCTCAACATGCCTATCTAGCAAAACGGTCAACAACCTGCAACATGAAGAGGAAGCAACAAGCTTAGAAATATCAGCATTTAAATAGCAAGAAAGCAAACATTCAGGAAGTGGACAACAAAATACTCCATTGCCGGAAATCAGACCAGAATAGAAGACAGATAATCCAGACTCTAATCCTTGCCCAATCGTTTGTCCTCAACACATCATCTCCAGGTTTTCCAAAGAAAAGATAGTTGCCTAGTTGGACACAAACAAGGTACAACCCCCAATAACCTGATATCAAAAGAAATAATTTGCTAAACCAAAATAACCAATCATCAAATAAAAATGTAAGAAGATTGTGACAAGAAGTACTGAAAATATTATGATAACCACCATCGACCCAGCTAAAGTCGATAATGCTCATACAATGAAATTAAATATCACATTTGGTTTAAGATGACTCCCAAATACCTTCTGAGAAAAGATGAGTAAAATAGAAATAGCTAATTAATTCTTCAGTTAACATGTTTTGTTCTGCCTTGAAAAGAGAAGTCATCGTAAGAATTTAGCTTTCTTTCCTTGTTCCAGAAATTTGGGGAAGAACTTCAAAACTTGCACAACATTAACTTATTTTTTCCATCTGGAAAAGAACTATTTTTCTTCATTGAGTCTGGCGGGCGTGTGTGTGTTGATCTGGATGTTCATTTGTCCCAAAATCTACAAACTTACCTGACCCCTTTGTATTCCACTATTGGCAATACTTGATACATGTGTTAGATTCAACAAAGAACAGACCCAATGGATCCCCAGTTCTTACTATAATGAAGCTATATTACATGGACCAGCTTGCAAGATGTGAATATGTGATTACTGCTATATTGATTACTGTTATATTCTGAACATACTGAACTTGTCCTTAGCATAATATTTTATTTTGATTGATAAGCATTTGGAATCCAATGTTTGCAATTTTTTCTACACATAGGTACCTTTTCTGCAGTTCTCCCAACCCACATCAGAAACATTCACCTAAGTCCACGCATTAGTCACATAATTCTTCCATTTAAACAAATTAGCAAACCCCTGTATGCCATGTTAGGAAGCAGTTTACACGTGTATGCTAGACTGACCAAAGAAATACCCCACAAAAAAACTAAATAAAACCCCCACTTCTTGCTAAAATAAAGTTTCAATGATGAACTGCCCTTAATCTGATTACTACTATATTAACAACTAATTACGACACTTATATCTAAAAGTTTATTTTGATTTACAAGCATTGTGACACAGAACTTTAAAAAGTGTACATATATTGGAACCATTTACTTAACTCCACCTATATGAGCTAGTCTCAAGTCCAGAAAAAATTAAGGGGAAAGTTTCATATCCAAGTCAAAACGAAACGGGGAACCAGCCGATCTCTTCTTCAAAGAATTTCCAAAAAGACACAACGACCATAAAACTGAACAAGCCAGTAAGCAAATGCACGGTGTCAAAGAGAGAGAGAGAGAGAGAGAGAGAGACTGCTCTAATTTCACTTCACCTTACCAAAAATGCTAAAAATCCCTTCTTTGTTTTGACTGATGATGTCATTTGAAAGAAGATATTCATTTAGCCCAAGCAACAGGATGACCTCATATACTGAAAGGACAAACAACATTATAGGCTTACCAAGCATATGAGAAGGTACCAAAATTCTGAGATGGGCCAAGATTACAATAATACCTACTAGAATAAACCACCCCAGAATTCCACAATAACTTGGTGGAAGATTAATTATCGATGTCAAAATTGCTACACCAGCAAGAATGAAAAAGAAATTCCAGTGCACACCATATTCACCAACGCGAACCTATGACGAAGGAAATGACTTCTATCAGTATTAAGAATGACAGTTTGAAGAAATGCCTAGCAAATGCAGATGAAGAAAGGATCATAGTAGCTATGCAGGAAAACTACATGAAAAACATCTGTAAACACTGGTACAGATATACGATACATTTAATTGTTCATACAAACAGAAACACACATAGCCATAGGTACGCAGTACTCAGAAAGGAAGTTTAAAGCTAGACGACTATGACGCTTGTTGAGGACCCTTCTAAAAGTACCATTTTGACACAACAATATGATGAGAAAAGTTAACAATGATTGCTGCAGTCAAACATAGGAAAATAAGAACATTTTGACTTTTGAGAAATAGGAATGGAAAAACATTACACAAAGATCTCCCCTTCTCTTTTCCTTTTTTGCTAAGGTGTTGCACAAAGGTCTCCTTTCCTGCAACATAATTATGCATTTTAATTTTGACACTACTATTGTCCTGGCTTCACTAATCAATGAAAGGGAGTACACACCTTGCCAGTAAAACATTGGGCAATCGTGTCTCCAAATTTCACAGTTTACTAGTTAAGAAAGTAACACGTCATTTTTAAGAACTTAATATGCAACTAAAAGAAAATTCAGGTTATAACTAATCATTGAGCATGCTATCCATACTGTACTGAATGAGGAAGGGACCATTCATAAACAAATTCAGTATAAAGAGCTTCTTCAATAATTCCAATTCGTGGAAAGCCTAGAAGTACTCTTCCTTTGGTAGATCCAAGCCAAAACCTACTTCTAACAACTTGTTGGATCAAAGTAGTACATTATACATTTTCCCCAACAGTGGAGGGGTTTAATTCTCGTTACACATGATGTGGCAGAAAAGATTAATTCAACAAGTTGTCTTGCTTGCATTAAGATATAAACTTGCCGTGCATAATTTCAAAGTTGAGATAAATTTGACCATAATCAGAAATGATACAACTATACTACGCTTCAGTCTGAAACTAGTTGCAGTCGGCTATATAATTCCTCATTAACCATGTTTCTACAATTAAATTCTTCTAGGCCGCACCCAAGTGGTTTGAAGTGAGTTGAGAACCATGAGATCTAAGGTTCAATTCCCGGCGAAGGCAAAAACTTAGGTGGTTTCTTCTTTTTTGTCCAGGCTGGGTGGTTAGAGTTACCCGATACCTATGCTGATAGGAGGTAGTAGGTATCCCGTAAATTAGTCGAGGTGTACCAACTGGCCAGTTACGACAGTCATCACAAAAGGTCTTAATTCAGTCATTAAGTCCGTTTATTTTTTAGGTATGAATCTTAATTAATTGGATCTTAACCATTAAGAGCATTTTTATATTACAACCTCTTAATGGGTTTGAATAGACTTGAATGATTAAGATATGCAACAAAGACTTAATATCATTAAGATGTATATTTAAAAATTCCTTTTTTTATGACAAGGGAAACCTGCAGCCGCTATCCTTAAGGGGGTGTGGATAAGGTAAAAACTCTGCTCCTATGCAATAGCCTGCAAACCACACAAGAGAGGTAACCCGCACTAGACAAGCCCAGTGCGACGAGCTCAAACCATTGGGCCACTCCGAAGGGTGTAAATTTAAAAATTTCTACAAAGATGGTTCACCAATTCCATCCATTCGCTATTGTCACCATCACTCACCATTATTGATTACCACCATTGTCACCCATCATTATCTACCACCACCACCCACCCACAACTACCATCCTCAACCACAACCACCATTATTGCCAATCACTACAATCAGTTGTTGTCACCACTACCCACTATTTAACATCATCACCACCATTACCACAACAACCACCTATCACTACACACAATCATCATCATCGTCACCACTATGTATCGCAAACCACTGTCATTATTTACAACTACCATTAGCTATCATTATTATCCACAATCAACCAGTACTGTCAGTCACCATCACCACTAGCTACTACCCACAACAACATCATTAGACAACACTATTCTAATCGGCTCCCACAACCTCCACCACTAGCCATTACCACCAACCGCCAATAATTCTTTTAAAATATTTTGTTGATATATATTTTATTAACTTCTATATTTATTAAGTTTAAAGGCAAATTCAATTATTTAGTTTTCAGCTCTTAAACAATATCTTAATATTCAGATATGCATTCGAATTCAAACATCTAATCTGAATGCATATCTTAATATTCAGATGTGTATCCAAATTCAGACGTCTTAGTCTTAATAAGAACAAATGCAGCCTAAATATATTCCCGTCTAATTGCCTATATAGAGCTTTTACAAATGCTACTTGCATTTTCATGTACCATATCTTTCACTTTCAAGAAACTATACTTCTCTCGGCCTACCTCGTCCCATGTTATCACATACTACCTTAGTTTCACACCAATAGAGCGACATATCTGGAGATTGATGCAGGATATGACCAAACGATCTCAAGCGACCTTCTCTTATATTATCCTCAATATGCTACTTGCTTCTTCTAATGTGATCATTTTTAATCTTGTCTAATCTTGTAAATCGCACATCCAGCTTGGCATCTGCATTTCTATGGCACTCATCTTGTGGATGTGTTGGACATAATCAGAAATACAAACAAAAAAATAAGCCAAAAAGCTCATGATTAAGACACCCTATCACAAGACATTCTCAAAATCGTCTTCGCTATTTCGGGAATGCATTATATAGGGTGGAGGTGGATACACTGCACATTCAAGTTATCCACTCACCAAATCATTCTCACGGGCAGAAGTGTCCCCCCTCGTGAATGTTTCTTGGATTTAAATCTCCAAATTTTGTCCCCCACAACCAGGGTCAAAGAAAAAGAATAACATTGGTAATGTAGAAGAATTAAGATTCCATTAACCTGATAATCAACACTTGAAGTGAAAAAGATTCGAGCAAATCCCAGGACTATGAGTAGACAAGTTGAAGAAATTGCATTTCTCAAATTCCTGGAAATGTAAAGTGCCAATTAAGAAAGTGCAAAATTTTATTTATCAAATGAATAAAAGAAGAGAATTGATTAGATAATTACAGACCAGAAATTAAATAACAGTTCTAATCAAGCAATATAATCTGACTTGTACTTTTGTAGACCTAGTACAGAGGAATATATTCCTTTGTCAAATGAATCAAGAAGAGAATCAATTATAATAGTAATGGAACAGAGTTCTGACTCTCATATTGAAAAAACATCATCTGACTGTATGTTTTGATTGAAAGCCCTAGTACAGGGGAATCAATTATAAATAGCTATATGGATTCCAGGAGAAAAAAATTCTGTCTTCATCAACATTATGTGGACTAATGATTGGTTTGAGAGATACATTGACCAGCCCAAAGAATCAAATAGTAGGGTTTCTACAGAAGTATATATAAATGATAGCCAAAATTTCTTACGGGCCATTTGGTTTGAAGTATTAGAGAAAACAATACTAGTATTAGAAATTATGCAATATATGATATCTTTAATTCCAACATAACTACTCTCAGAATTACTAAGACACCCTAATCAGTACTATTCATATACACCCTACTAAACGACCCCTAAAGAGAAACATGTCAGTCAAACTATATAGCACCATCCAGTCATCTACAAGAGGTAAAATCTCAACAATGGTCATGATAAAAGTTCAAATCGAGAATCATCACTTACGTTTTTGCAATTCCACGTGCTTGTCGTGAAACCAATGCATTTGCCACAATAAACGAACCTACTCCAATGTCCATCTGATACAACCACAAGGTAAGCATAAGGTACCTAATTCTAACTCCAGTTTACATTTCGGCAAAAGGTTTATCAGAAGTAGTCAGTTGACAGAACCAGGATGAAAAACCTAAACAAAAAGATGAATCAATGAAGTTGAGCTCAATACAATGGAACTGACTATAGTAGGACGACATAAAAGTGAAGGAAAAATAGAGAGAAGAACTTTCATAATGACAACTTGCAAATAAGCATATGCTAGCGAAAAAAGCTACCCTAGGATTTATTTAACATGTCAATGCCTAAAATGAGATAGAAAATGTAATTTTAAGAACTATACAAGGAATTTTGCTGTGTTTGGAACAACAAGAGAGTACACACAGTAATACTAATCAATCACATAGAACAACCCCGGTCTACTCTAGAAAACAATACCAATAAATCATCTCTTCTATTCCATTCGTTAACTAGAAAACAATACCATCAAATCATCTCTTATATTCCATTTGTTTCCTTTCCAGAAATAACCCTTAATATTACAATTATTTACTGTCACAATCCTTAATCTCTACATCTCAAAGAAAACTTTGCGTTAAGAAATTTTTGAACTGATACAACCTAAATCCTAGCCAACAATGTTGTTAAAGGGTCGTTAGAACTTCCGTTTCGCCTTATAACTGAGCAACTGCAGATTGGGATGTTCCCAATAGCTCAGCCGGCGCTTCAGTGCACACATTAAGGTATTAGCACAAATATGGCAATAGAATACAGATAGTTGTTTACCAAGCCAGTACCGTAGGTCTCTGTTTTAGCATATCTCCTAGGAAATATCTTGAAGTCAACAGCCAGAATACATATGCATGCCAGAAAATTCTGCAGCAATCATACCTAAAATCATAAATAGTAACTCCAGCAATAAAAGGAAACAAAAGTAGATGAAAGCATAATGTAAATAATGGTTATTCTGCATACCATAGCAACCCTGTATGCAGATATTTGTCCTAAGAGATCGGACCCCCTCTTCCTGAGAAACAGAAAATCCAGATCTGCATTGAACATGAAATACCGTTACATACAATAAGCTACATGAAATACATGTAAACAGCTTCATGGAATAGCTGTAGAATTCTATGATTAGATTACCTTCTAGCTAAAATAAAGAATGTCACCAATTAGGTCATCCCAACTGCATTAGTATATGTCCAATCTGCCAGAATCTGAGATTGAATAGTTACTCATTTGATTAAGAATATCAAGCATTAAATCAAGTTCTCAAAACTTGAGATCATCTAGCACGCAGGAAACAACTACTTCATCAACAAATGACTAGAAACGACAACCAGTTTATAACTAAATCTTCTTTCTCTTTCCTTTTCATTCAGATGTTAATATAATAGAGATCTTTTCATCCATTTATTCAACTTGTTAAAATGAATCACAAGTATTGTTGGTATTATAGAACGGACAGAGAACACTTAAGAGTTAAACATAAAATGACTGGAAATACAATGCAGAGGACATCAAGAGTCCCTGAAGCAAGATATGATCCCATGTTCTTCTTACAAACAACTGCATTAACGTTATCATCTTTCTTTGACAAGGTCTCTGCAAAATTAGGATCAGATGCCTCACAAAGGGGTGAAGTGAATACAGTTATTTGCCACATAAAATGGTGAAACAAGAAAAGGAAATGGAAATAAAGTACAACTAACGTCACAAACAAAGTGTTAGGACTTCTTTCGTCAAACAATACAACTAATCAAGCAATTCTGAGTTTGGGCAACAGTGACCAGACTAAAATAAACGGGTCTTCAGGAAGTTCATTGACCACTACAGGATCAACACATTAGCAAAAGATTTTAGTTGTTGATAAATTTGAAAAAAGGCCTAATGTATCTGTTGTTATATCCAAGAAAAACTTTTTTTTTCACTTAACAGTATTACGAGTTTCACGCCCAACTTCAAAACTGGACCTTCTTTTGGACAAGAGAAAGTCTAGCAATTTCTATTTTAGGTGCAATGAGTATTAAATTTAGACAGCAAGTAGGATGATACCACTATAATAGTTCTTCATGATCTCTTGAGAAAGGTCTCAATGATAGTATCTCCTCAATAAAGTGCATTTATTGTCAATTAGTTTTACTCAGAACCTTTTACGTGAGAAATAGACCAAAGATTATCCCAAAACTCTAGCTCCCAGTTTTATAGCTTCAAATATATCCCAAGTCCCGTTCACTTTACTCCAAACGGAATTCTAGAACGTTCGGTCTACTTCCTTTAAGTTTTCATACTCTTCCCAAACCAATCATTAGTCCCACATTATGTCCTCAGCTTTACCCTCTGAAAGACCAAGAGACCCTCAAAAAGAATTTTCATAGACCTCAGTATAGTAGTAGCTTAGCATACTGATAACCTGTTAACATGTAGGAGTCACACTAATACACCATTCATTACATCTTGCCTAGGAGGTTCAGTTAGTTCAGATCCTCCCCTTCTTCAACATTTGTTGTTTTACTACTACTAACTTATCCAGAAGTATTTTGCATGACGGAAGAATTGCATTGACTTAGTTATTTCTTGTCAGTGGATTTAGTTAAGCTTTTTCTGCCCAAAAATTAAGAACCAATGGAAGGTTTTTTTTGGAGGATAATAAAAATGGATCTATAAAATTCTAGGACTTCAACTATTATTTGATGTAAAACATAAATTAACAAAGTGGGATGATGAATTCAGAATACTGTACAGTCCTTTCTTTACTTTCTATAAGTCAAAATGTAACAAAATGATAACCTTCTCCTCTTCTTTCTTTCCAAACTGACTACAAATACTCAGACTCCAAATTAAAAAAATAAACTACCAAGTACCAAAACAAAAATTGAAAGAAAAGTTAGGTTCTTTTTTCCAATCAGTCCCTCACCGGTGGTGGTGGAAGGTGACAGGTACTTGGTAGATTAGTCAAAGTGCAACAAAGCTAACCCAAACACCTTCATTACAAAAATAAATAAGTAAACGAATAATGTTTTCAAACCAACTATATCCATATAAACAGTTTGGTCTTTGTCACATTTAGCTAATCGTAAGAAAATAATACAAATACTTAATAAAAAGGAGGAGAATACATAATTTTTTCTTCTGTATCATTCCAATTTTGCCTGATGGCAAACTATTTAGGGCTCAAATACAAGCTTTACAGCATCTAAAATGAAAAAACCCGAAGAAAAAAAAAACAATTAACTAAAACTTAATAAGAAAGATGAATAAAATGTTATGACAGGATAAAAATGATACAATGTTGTGCTATTTCACACCTTTTTTGGAACTGGAATATACTGAACGTAGAAAGAGGAGCATCTGAATCACAACACAAAAACAAAATTAAAATAAAACACATAATAGTTAAGTTGTCCATATGCGGTCATCATTAGTTGTATTGGGTTATGAATGCTCACGAAATGAAATAATGCATTTATTGCAAATGATGTACCTTTACATTTGAGTTTTATACATGATCAATGTAAATATTTTTTGCACTATCAGGTTAGCAGATTTACATTAACCTTCTTGATAAAATGTGCTACCCACATGAAAAAATTATTTATGTTACGTTGACAATGTATATTATTTATTAAACTCTTATGTTTTATTGTGCTTTTTATTTTGGCTTTGAAATTTGGGGTTGAGAAAAAGGTTGGGATGTTCATTGTTCAACTAATTTGAGATATTAGACGATGCTATTGATGTAATGAAATTGGAAGATGGTGTACTTCAAAACATGGTAAAGTCTCTGATTTGTATTCACAAGTTGCAATCCTTGATTGTTTTTCATTGTATTGAGTTATTTTTCATAATATTGGCAATTTTAACAAATCTACAATGATTTTTACTCCACTATATACATATTTGGTCACCTATGGAAGTAGTTTGAAAAGATAATTCAGCAATTATTTGGAAACCTTTCCTCATGTTGGGAACCAAAATGAGGTACAAGAAGCAATGTACAGTGTACTTCAAACAAAATTTGAATTGTACGAGTAGGGTTAAAATAGTAAATTCCCTTTATCCACTCTCTCACCTCTGCTTCTACTCTTTCTTCTCTGCCTGACAACATTGACAGCCATTTTAAACCTTCAACGGAGTTAAACTTTACTTCAGAGTCTCACTCCAACTTCTTAAGTTCTTTCAATTGTTTACCTGGTAAGTATTCTTGTGTGGTATTGGCCCTCTTCCCTTATGAATTTTTACTCTTTTTTTTCCATTATTGTGTTTATGCTTCCTATTATTCTACTGATTTATCTTATTTATAGGTCTTTCACAATTTTTCTTGGATTCTTTTGAGTTCTTATAGATGCCTCTTGAAATACATGCATAATTTTGTTTTCAATATTTTGCAGTTTCTAGCTCTAAAATACTAAAATATTAGTAGTATTTTCTTATCAATATATGATACTTTTTGCAGATAATTAATGGCTTGATGCGGTGGCATGTTTGACGAAATTTCCCATGAAGGTAAGACTTGTGTGTTATGAAGAGAGATTAGTTACAAGAGTTGATTGTTTTGGCCAGATGATTCAAGGTGCTAATGAAGTTGAATGGTGGGCTTAGGTGAATAGACATTTTCCCTTATAATATCTTTTTTTCATATGGTATTTTCCCCAAAAAATATTGAGAAAGAATTTGAGTTGCCGAATTCTTTGATGTTGTCATGAAATTAGAAGTGATAACGTAATGCTGAAAATTCAGGGTAAGTTTTCAGTATTGATCTTTTTGTTATTTGAACTACATTTTTGAAAAAATTCAGCTACTAATATAGTAAGTTGAGGTGGTATTCAAAGACAAATTATTTAAATACAAAGTCAAAATAACAAGCAGGTTGAATCAGGCGAAAAGGTTGATTTCTGGCTCTCCAATTTCCAAGTCCTTTAAGGTACCATTCCACATTTTCTTAAGAACCTTTAAACTTTTGGCAATGGACCGTCATGTTGGTGTTGCATTTATTTTTAGCAGTTGTTCTTGGATAAAAGCTGAAACTTTAATATTGAAAATTTCGTTACTAGATTGAGTTCTAGAAGTCTGTCATATGATATTATGCTTTGTCAAAGTTTTTGTTTCATGTGTTCATATTAGTTAGATACAATTGATAATGTTAAAAATATTTTTCATCTGATCAATCCAGAAAAAAATGAACATAAGAAATGTAGCAAATAAGTAATAATGTTGACGCTAGAAAATTTTTGAGAAATGAGAGAGTAATAAAATGTCCGGGTAATGGAAGAATCCTATAAGACTATTAATTTAACGCTGAAACGAACTCTTTTCTTTAATCTTGAGTTTGTTGCTCAAGAGTAGCTACTAACTCCTAACCTTTTTTTAATCATATGTGAAATAGGAATAGTAATTTGAGTATGCAATATAATAATATTGTGTTAAGAGTGCTGTCATATGCTTCTTATAGAGAAATATCAACTTCATGTTTTCTCTTTTATTTGTAGCATAATATTCTTTCATCAAAATTTTTTGTCATGGTCATTAATGAGTTCCTTGTTTTGCTTATTGCATTTGAAGGTTTGTCAATGAAATAGATGAAAAAAATGGAGGTTTTGCTTGGTCCAACTATGAGCTCTAAAATGTATGTGATTATCTTTCGCAAACATTTTTAGCTAATTTATTGTCACATACATTTTTTTGAATATGTTTACTCTTTCCATGTCCCTCAATAGAAGTAAAACAAACATTTATTTTGTATTTCACGAGAGACGATTTTGTATATGAGATGTAGGTGAGACGAAGAACATTTTTAGTATGCGCTCTTTTTATGTCCCCAGATTAAGAAGCATAAGGATAGGTAGAGCATGAGCTCTTGAAGACTAAGTTGTTGTATTATATGTTAAATGTAATAAAAGGATTTTCTTAGTGGTTTATACAACATCAAGGTAATATTATGTTATTCAAACTTAAGGTCTGATTT